TGTGATCATCGTCACTTTCATTGATAGTAAACAAATCAGGAATTCTATTATCAATTGTCATTGCTTCAGGTACAGATGCACTAGTTGACATAATAGTATCTAATGTATCAGACGTTGACATAATAGGTTGAGAATTAGAAGATTTTAACATTTCATCTTCATGAGATCTTAATTCATCTAAAGCTTTCTTAATAATTGGACCGAATATATGACCATCCCAACCGAAACCTAGAGCAATATTATAAGCCTGAATATGTTGTAAATATTGTTCCAAAGAACCAGCTTTTATAAGAGCTTTCCTTTTAGAATCAATATATTGTTGTAAAGTTTCTTTTGTAATAGGAAAATAATTTATTGATTCGCCAGGATGTAAACTTTTTATAACGTTAATAAAATTTGTTACGCCGACTCTTGATGCTCTTGTATTAATGCTCGGAGATCTTTTACCACGTTTACGATCTTTATCGGTTGAAGGTGACATAGATTTATCGCTTTTAGCTGGAGACGATGGATCTTCATCTTCGGAAGACGCGGATGGATTATGTTGAGCCTCCAGAGATTGATGTTCTCGCATTGGAGGCATCCTGAGAAATCGTTTTCTTTATTATTACTATTATTTTATATTGGTTTTATTAGGTTGAATAAAATTCTAGTGGGAATTTTCGAATTAAAGAATAAAACGATCATGACATAGATAAAAAAAAAGATAAATGTATAGAAATAATACAACATTGAAAAAAAAAATTAACCGAAACCGAAAAAGAGAGAAAAAAACTTTGAATTTTTTTTTTTAATTTATTTGCGGATAGGAAGGCAAAATGCAAGTTCAAAGGTGAAATTGAATATTCTAATATTATTTATACTATTTACATACTATTACAATTTATTACTCTTATTTCTTTTTTTTTTATATATATATATTTATATACAGCATATATATTTAAATTAATCTATAGATATAAATCATAAATAAAATAATATTTTATATTACTATTTGAGTTGTTAAAGCCGCTTTATTCAAGGGTATCTAAGACTTATTTAAGTTTAAGAAGGACGCCACACATACCGAAGTTAGAGTACCGGACCTTTTAAACACGTGATTATATCGCGTGAAATTTTAAAGTAATCAAATTAAGAGTAATAAAGAGTAATAAGCAATAGATATTTATATCACTATTGATAATTGCTAATAATTTATTTGAATGAACAAAATATATAAAGTATCTATATATATATATATATATATCAATATAATTAATTAGCTCTTTTAAAATAGTGTAAAAAATAGTGTTAAATAGTGTGAAATAGAAAGATTTTATGAATCAAAAATGTGAGAACAAATTATAAATGTGACAGTGTTAATCAAAACGAAATAAGTTTACTGCCTAGATTTAGTTTTCTTTAAACAGCGCAGAAAAATCAATTTCTTTACGAAGATAAAACTTTTATTAGAGTAACACTTAATATACCTAAGCTGTATTATATATATATATATATCTGTCTTTCTCTCTTGTTAACCGTTAATAGCAAACAATCGTTAAATGCTGCACTATTGCTATGTAGAAACAACAATAGAATTTATTGTCTCAAAGTTTTTATTATATCCATTTATCACGTGGTACCACCGGACCGGGGAAATCAAATATTTTTTTTAAAAAAATAAGTTTTTAATTCGATATGTAATTTAAATTTTTTTTCGAGTATATAATTATAATTTGGTTTAAACGGACATTTACCGAATCACAAATCATAAATCATATAATTAAAATTCGTAACACGATAATTTTTGTGTCAACTTTGACCAATAAGCATTTTTAAATTCATTTAATTTCAAGTAATTCCATAAATTAAATATGATAAACATGATAAACTGATAGATGAGTTCGTACACTAATCTTGTAAAGTAAACGAAAGTGATATCTACACTAATTATGTAAATTAGACGAAAGTAATATGGGTATGGCTAAAGTCAAATTACTAATTCTAATAACGCCTAAAGTTGAAAAGCGCAGGGGACGGAAATTTTTTTCGGGTTTTGCCTCAGCATTAGACATATTAGACCATAAAAAACGATGTTACTATATTTATATTACTAAGTACATAATCGGTAAATTAATTCGCTGGTCCGTTACAGAAAGCTCCGGATATCGGGCAAACAACTTACGAGCCTTGTGGTTACACATTACCTGCGAAAATCAATCCTTGTCTACCATACTGGTTTGAAAATAACGCATTTGGAATTTATAATAAAATAGCATACATCATTTATGTCACTTAGTTATTAAAAAAAGAAGCAAGATTTTTCATTTATAATGGGTATCAAGTTAAAATAAATAGGATTTTTAAATGTAATTACGCATAATTTTGGTATAAAGATTATAAATCATAAATCATACAGTATATTAAATAGAGATATTAATCAGATGCTTCAAAATGAAAAAGAAGGGAGAAACTAACCTCAAAAGTAAGATTTAGGGACAAAAAAAACAAATATTTAAGGTAAATGCGTTGATTAATATGAATTCGTCGGATAAGAACGAAATTGGAGACTTTCGTAACTGCCGAATTGGGAAAAGGAGTGAGAGGAATGTTCTCTACGGTACCATTGCCTTACATGATAGTCGGTATATGTACATAACTAATAATACAATAATACTAATAATACTGTAAATATACACCTGTAAATATGTAAATATACACTTGTAAATATGTAAATATACACTTGTAAATATGTAAATATACACTTGTAAATATGTAAATATATAACTGTAAATATATACTATAATATCTGTAATATCGGTAATATCTGTAATATGCGTACACATTCAGCCAACGAGTTAAAACACTTGTTTCCTTGCTTTTTATCGTGATTAATTAGTATGAACATCACAAACAGCTTTAGTATCATGATGGCCCCATGCACCTATTCGGTCTTAGAACTCCAGTATCATTTAGTAACATTAAAATTTTTTTTTTACACATATTTCCCTTCTCGTCTTTTTCTGCCTTATTCTATCTTATTCCATCTATTAGATCAACAACTCACAATCTCAATCATACATCCTTTTTTAGTTTAATAGAACCAAGTGCACTTTGGATTTTACCAATTTTATACATCGCGCGAAAAACAAATAAATAAATAAAAAAAAATAAATAAAATAAAAATAAAATAAAAAAAATGCCAGTCGCGTCAAACTAATTAGATTGTTTACGTGTAATTATTTCAAAATATAATGTGCACACAATGTATCACGGGGGGTATATGCATGAAGGTTTGTAAAACAAAAAAAAACAATTAAAGTTTTACGCTCGTGATTTTATGGTGCTGGTTAGCTCATGCGTCATATGTAATTTGGGTCTCACACCTCCTCTGGGGGAACAAGATGTGTGAAAAAATGATTTGTGTAAATAATCAGGTACTGTACATAGGTAGGTACAACATTTTTGAATAATGATTTTACCGAAATAAATTCCGAAAATGCATTGTCAACTTTATTATACGATTTTATTATACATTTAATAAAATGGTCTTGCCTAGATAGGTCACTTTTCATCTGTAAGCTTTCTTTGGATCTCATGTTGTGCGTGTGTAAATTATATGTAAATTATATGTAAATTATATGTAAATTATATGTAAATTATATATAAATTATATGTAAATTATATTCTAATCTGTATTCTAATCATTTACCCTCATATATCAACAAAATCTTTCCGGATTGGTTACTCATAAAAGTATTCTCATTTTAAGTATCCTCATAAAAAATATTCTCAAAAAGTATTCTCAAAAAGTATTTTTCAAACAACACATGCAAAGTACGAATACATATACATATTAAAATTAAATATATTAAATATGATAAGCTGGTATAACATTGGTAAACGTTTAAGCTATTTAGTCTATTTAGTCTATTTGGTATCTATTTGGTAACTATTTAGTAAGCTATTTTAATAACCAAACCCACAGAAATAAGCAAATATGCAATATATATTATTTATTTTCATTTATTTTCTCACTTTTATACATTACTACACTATGTGTATCTTATGAATTTATACGATAGAAATAGTAGAGACAGTAGAAACAATATAAACGATATAGATTACATAATACAATATTCTTGCATTTCATCTTAAGCCCATTCATTCTAAATTTGACACATTACAGAATCTATGAGAAAACTAGATTTTCCAAATAGAGATTCATAAAAAACACCATACTTGCTTTGGATTTATTAAAAGCACATACAGTGGATGAATCATTAGATAGAGTGTACCGTGCACATTTAACCTCGCTTATTTTTGCTTATTTTTCGTCCTCAGTGTATCACGTCTGCAGTCTTCGTCGACAACACATCACGATTTTTAGCATGGTTATGATGGTGTTACATTCGATATGAACAGTAATATGATCCGTCAACGTTATTAGTTTGTTTAAGAATGTTTTTGTTATTTGTTTAGATATATATATATATATAATATATATATATATTTATATATATGTATATATGTATATCTATATATATATGTATATATAGATGTATATATTTATATAGATGTATATATATATATATATATATATATATCATGATCATAGCATATACATCATGGTATGTAAAGATTAATGTATTTTATTTTGGTAAAAAGGCGTTAAAAGACAGAAAAAAGATTAGATTTTACTATTAGAGCCTGGAGCTATTGCCACGTAACGCCATGACTGTCAAGATATAAGGTTTTGTTTCGATTAATCTAAGCTGTAAATAGTGACTAATCAAAGAGTATTCGGTTGATCTCATGATCTCATTCAATTATTGAGACGGAGCTGGGTATCAAGTAATTCCGATGGTGTGTGTAACTCTCTTAAATCTAGATTACGAATAACTGATGTAGATGATGGTCACTTTAATAAAACTTAAAAAATAAAGTTAAGGGGTCCACAAGCTTAATTGGACACCGACTTTAGTAACTTTTCCGTCTATTATTACTATATAGTATGTATAGTATGTATAGTATTTATAGTATATATAGCATGTATAGATTGTATAATACAGTATATACGTATATACGTATATATGTAGCATAATACTATATACGTACGTACTTACTGTATACTACAGCGCCGGATATACCGATACTATAATGATTTTATAATGATTTTATAATGATTTTATAATGATTTATAATGTAATTAATGTAATAATAGTCTTTGTCGATAATGGCTAGTTTATTTTTGTACACAAATATATACCTATTATAAATATTATTACTTACGTTCAGGGGTCGATCTTTAGAAGTAACGTTCGTTGTACGATTTAATAAAAATAATAAAAATAATAAAAATATAGCAAGGAGTTATATAAATCATGCCATGTTTAATATTGATTTTAATAAATGTAATAAACGTATGATCTTGATTAAAAATTTAATATGCGCGATTTTTGAAACCTCTGAAATTCTTACGTTGCATAAATTACGTAACCTTCTTTTAATAATGTATGCGCTTGTGAACACGTTCTAATATCTTTTTGACATTTAGGATGAATCGCGTAACGCTGTTACTTTGTTGCGGAGTTTAAATTGTTT